ACCGGGAAATAAGACAGGGACCGAGAGACAATTTCCGTGAGCGCTTTTTACGGGTTATTGATAGCTCGCGATGGGTCACAGTGCGCCATTTTGTTTTCAACGATGGTCATCGAACCATCAAGAATTTTTCCACTCTTCTCTTCGGTACTTTTTATGCGATTTTGCCACTCTATGGTAGAAAAATGTCCGCCATTTTGACCTAATGGGAATCGTACTACTATCCTCAATCTTTAGAATATTTTCTACGGGTTCAACTGTCCCATTAATCTGAATCTTCGGTTAATTAGATTTTTTTGCTACAAGTATATGGTCCGCCATTTTGTTTTCAGTGACCTACTGGTGATCGAACTACGTAAAATCTTTAGAATGTTCCTTTTACGAATGAATGCCTAGATAAAGTTTGTAGACGTTTCTCGAGGAATGATATCGCCGTGGACGTCTTCAGGGGGTAAAAACACGCCGTAACCGGCCGATTATACAAGATAATCCTCGGGGACCAATGTCTCCAGAAAGTGGACAAGCCTCGTGTAATCCGTACGGAAGAGGAAAGCTACATCGATCCGCATTTCTAAGGTCTGTGCATCATAGGGGTTCACGCGGTCGACCTAATGGCATTATCAACCCTTATTCGTCGGGTACTGCCTTTTGGGGTCGTTGTCCAGCCAGGGTATTTTTCGATCGACGACGTCGTCCCTCCTAATTAAGACAGGCTTTCATTCAGGAATATTGAAGCGAGCACGCGCTAAAAATGGCGCGAGACCCGCTTGTATATCGGGTTACTCTACCTGTCGAGTTCATTGTTATAAAGGGAGTTCGTCGTCCACGTGTTATTTACCGTCAGGGGCGAGGTCGAGTCTTTGTCACTTTTTAACCAATTTAATCACTCTTCTGGAGGCGGGAAATTTTATAATCTTCCGTGCTGAAGAGCAATTAACGGGATGGATAATAATTAGATCGATGTTCGTAAAAATATTCATAGATACACAATTCATTTGTTCGTCAGGAAATGAGGAAGAACATTACCACGATGGAAGTCTGACAAAAAGAAGAGGTCATTTCTTAAACATCTGGTAATATTTTAGGTAAACGATCAATTACTTATTCTGCAAAGAAACATATTTAAAGTAACCTGACCTTTTAAAGTCTCTGATACAATCGAGGTCTTGCTACACTCAGTGTCAGCCGAATGAAAACTTTCCCCCTTCTCGAGCATCAGGATTCGAGGGTGGAATAATAGTTAGGGAGATCACGTCGGCGGCTGGTGACGTGACCGGAAACGCAAGGGGAACGGAAGCATAATTTTTCAGTCGAGTCAAACTTGCTGGGGATTATTTTGCGAGCTAGGGGATGGTGTTAGACCGTCGGAACGAAAGGAAACCTGGGAGTACTTCGTGGAAACTGGTGTCCCTAAAATGTGGAAAGTATATTTGGAGCCAACGATATACACATAAATGGTAGTCCTCTTTAGGGCCCAATTGAAGACTTCAGGCCCAAAATATAATGAATATTTCAGTAATTCTCAAAACTGGTCCAGAATGGAAACAAACATAAAAAGAAAATACTTTGTATGTCTAGAAGTCACCGTTACAAATAATTGTACTAGGACCAGAAGATAATTGCAGCTGAGAATCCTGATTTACAGTGCTTTAGCTACCAGTACTAGGGTCACAAGAGACAAAGACTAACATATATTCAGCTTACATTGTCCTCTTAATTTAAAATTTTCTTTTCTTCTCCTTCCGAATACCCACCAGCAAGAATTCTATGAGCAGTTCGTTGGTCGATGAAACGTTCTTTCCCCTTACAACACACCGAAGGTATTCGGCCAAGTCAGATGAACCGCGTTAAGGTTCACGTACACCGAGCAATCGCGATCTTAACGCGTAGTTGGCGTGCACCTTATCTACCGCGACGTCTAGCTGACGTTAAATTACGAACTGATTCTCGTTCGTCCACGAAGGACTTGGACTTTAAATCGGCCACTACTTGGCTCTTTTTCCATAACACGTAATACCACCAAGGTTGAGGTTCCACGGGGAAATAATTTCCCAAAAAGAAGCTCGATCTTGATTTCCCAAAATTATGGTCTTGAAATCGTACCAACCTAGAGAGTGGTCAAATCAAATGGAAATTGATCGACCCTCAGACATCCATGCAAACAGGGCCGAGGATCCCGATTTCTCGCGAGCGTTTACCTGCACGCAAGACCGTTTACAGGATTTTAAAAAAACAAGGAAGTCGAGACCCCCGAACGATTTATGCTCGATAATCTGATGACTCGCCAGCCAGTCATTAATGACCATTCTGTGGTGCTTTGTTATTAAGATCGCGATCGAGTGGCGGCCACGATAACGTCGAAAAATACCAAGGCTTAGTTTGTCGTTTACCGACACGCGAGAGAGTCTAGGCGCGGGTCCACGTTTCGATTCGAGGTTCCGTGATCGGAAGGAACACGATTAAGGGCGTGGTGGCTGGTCTACCACTATGACCAACCGTATAAATGAATGCCAATAGAAACAAGGAGTATTATCTTCAAAGATCCAAGAGAAATTGAGAAGGTTAAGGAAATCTCAGGAAAAATCCCATTTTAGGATGATGTACGAGCGACAAGACCTACGTACAATTTATCGACCAGGAAACCTCAGCATACTTAGGGTAATCGATCTCGAAGAGGATCGTTCCTGTGTACCCTAAATCATCCAAATCACGGCCCAACGGAATCGAATTCGCTGCGATTGGTAATCGAATAACGGACCCGCGGGGATATTCCTATGATATCCTTGTTTCCAGAGGAATAGGAGACGCGTCGCGCGGGTGAACCGTAAATCAGGGGAAGCGACAGCGGCTAAATGGATTCGAGAGATTCCAGTCTGCGAGGAGACGAATGTTTTGGCCATACTAGCGATGCCGCACCAAGTATCCCGGTTATCCGGATCGTCGATCCGCCGGCCGTGAATACTCCTCCTTGGCAGCGATCCTGACAGGGACACAGTTTTTCCTCTGCTGTTTCGTTTTTGGCGGCACCAGCCAAATCTGCTGTTGACCTACTGAATCACGGAGGTACGCCCTGGAGGTGACCTTTTGGGCGAATGTGATCCATTCGGACGGAAAGTTTCCAAATGGTTTGCCATTAGTGCAACCAGGAAGGGGATGATTATACGCAAAGAAAATAAGTCGAGAGTCCACTATAAGATTTATACAAATAGTGTTTTGTTTAGAATACGAAGAAACTTTCAAAATTTGTCAGATACATATGCTATGGAAGAGGACTTGGTCTACGTATGTGACTATTACTCATCCGACTACAGACTCCTCTCGATTATTGTCCAGGAATTATCCCCACCACTGGGGGGAGGGGGCGTGGAACCTGTCAAATGTATAATTGTTGCCAAGACTTCGGGCAAAAAGGACGAATTTACGAAGGTCTGAAGCATTTCTCCCAGAGTAACAAGTCTGAGTCGGTTGAACCATGTATTCTGAAGGATTTAGCACCTAGACCTAAACTTTAGATAGATGGTTGGTCAGTATGTGTCGTGAACGAGTACATTGTTCGACTGTTCGTTATTTCTCTCGACAAATGGGCGATATTGAGTCTCCACCCCATCGATATACAATTCGAGGAGGAGAGAGTAGTTCGCGCTAATGGGGACCGGGGATAAAGTCAACCAGTGCGCGAGGACGGGCGCACGGAAATCAATAGATATTCCGAGTTTCTGCTCGTAAACATTTGGGCCACGTTCAGAAAAGGGACAATTATTCCCGATTCAAATAAGACAGACTGGAAGAAAGAATCCGATGAACTTTCAACATTTCTCTTGGGAACAATAATCATTCGATCGATCGCGTGGGTCTGAGTCCTCAACGGGCAGTATGGGTCATTTGAGACCCACCACAAAAATTACAAAAATTACACAGTTCTGAATGTGAAATTCTGAATACTTATTACGTTAATTGTTACTTGACTTTTACAATCGAACCTTATCATCTTCAAGATACAAAATACTGATGCTACATCATCACATGAAACTTTTGAATTAGTCGTTCGCGTCTCCTAGTCCGCCTGATTGGGTCAAAATGACACTGGATCCACCAGGACGACAGTTAGTACTTTCAACCGAAGGAGGGCACACGATAAGGATGGAAGTACACGGTAATAAATGGTTTTAGCCTTTAGAAGGCGATACAGAGTCTTCCCAGCGAGCGGTGATCGCGTTATCCTCGGGTAATTGAACCCTTCATTCCTCCCTCGCCCTTTAAACCGAGGGCTCTTCCTGGTTCCGCCTCATCCCTTCGCGTCTGTCTGCCTGGCATGTCGTACCCGAACGTCTCATCCTAGGTATATCCTGTTCCTGCATAATCGTAGCCCTCGTTGCGACTACAAAGCTCGCGAACGACGATCTGACAACGGGCACAAAGGGACACAACGGAAACAGCCGCCAATTAAACTTCGTATCCTAGTTTCTTGACATTTCGAAGCGTCTCTGTTCTCGCGTATCTCGACTATATCTTCTCGTTTACCTGCTACAGAACCGTTTTGAATATAATAATAATAAGTTCTTAGAAATGGTCATCAGATACCAAGTCAAAGGGTTGCTTCAAATCAATTCGATTTCAATAGCTTCGAAAAACATTAACGATGGAGTAACGACGAGCATTAAGAGGGAAATGATCTCTAAATTTTTCACGTTAACTATGTACACAAATTAGACGTCGTTAACGGAAAAACCATTGTCGATTTGCAGAATTCAATCAGATACTACGTGTAACTCTTTATCCGTTCAATGAAAGTGTAATGCGCGGTTCTATTTAGAGTAAATTAAACCGATTCGATTCGTTGGACGGTCACAACAGGTGGGGCAAACGTATCTGCTACAGGTATTAGAGTTCATTCTATATAAAGTAACGCAAACATTATCGTGGAAAGAAGGGTAAATATCGTATCCACTCGGAAATAGAGGTTCTCAGTGGCCATTGGATATAGGATCGATTCAGGTACTCACGATTTTGTGATGAAGATGCTGAAGCTCCCTTTCGGTGACCCTTCGCCGCGACAGCTCGCGCTGTTCCCGCCTGTACTGGCTGTACTTGTAGAAGAGGTACATGCCAGGAAGTGCTAGGACTACCAAAGGCTTCATCAGGCCGGCTCTTCCGGTCGCTCCGCGGACTCGTGGCTCTGGAGGCTCGTCCAGATCCTCCAGTTGCGCTGCGGCCTCGACCTCCTCGGCCACGGCCGGTACAGCTGGCATGTTTTATCACCTGGAACAAAAAGCTAGAATTATCTCAGCCCTATCTAGCTTGATAATTGTTTTAAAAATGATTACGGTTTTGAGTCAATAATTAATAATAAGAGCCCCGAATTATGTACACCTAATATTTAAACAAACCATCAATTTCCTTGACATCTATTTAAATGTATGAATTTCGGTATCAGAAAAATGATTGTTCTACTATCCGAACACTTATGTCTCCCTATTAGCAGAGATGGGCAAACTCATTATCTAGATAAAAAGTTTCGATTAACGAATAAAAGATCAAAAAATGTATTTCGTCATTTTTAATTGTTTAAACGTGGAAATTTCAATTTTTATGAATGACACCCTTAGATACTGCTGCTTTTCACTGTTTATTATTCGAATAAAATTCTGCCCAACTTTGATCGAAACTAAAGCGAGAGAACAATTCAACCAAGCAGCTGAACATTTGTCCAATTATCATTGAAAATAATATTTTCCGCCAGACAAAATCCTCAAGCAAAGAAGGGAGAGCCTATTTTCACTCCTAATCATACAAAGTATTTACAGAAGTGTCCCACCACGTGATGATCCAAAGTCTGCTAATTAATTAACCACACCATATCCGACTCTCGTCACCTCAGACAATACACTCCACAGTATATTGTCCCTCATTCGGGATATCGAAGCGACACAGTTACGATTCCATTCGCCGTGTCGTCGTCACGTCAGACGCAGAGCCACGGTCCCATAATGGATCATTTGTTCCCAACAATTACTCGACCTTAATCTTAGTTGATCGAACAGGCGTTCGAGCATACGATCATCAGTGTCGCGGACTTTTAACTACGAGACGGGTTAAAGTATCTAGTAGCAGATAACTCTTTAGGGTTAGGTGGGTTAAAAACTGTCCCACCTTTGCATGGTGAGATATATTTTAACCCACCTCGAAAAGTTGAAGTTACTCATAGTCATACAGTTTAATATTTTATTTTTATATAATTTTTTTTATATTAATAAAACTTCTGTGCAACCAGGGTTTTTATTTTCTTCAAAATCGTGTGCCTCAAAGAGTTAAAGAAAACAAGGTTCAAGCTGATTATTGTGATTCAGGTGGTACAAACGATCCTCACTGAAGAAGCCGTCTGCTCACCTAGACCCTTCTGGCCACGAATAAGTGTATAATACAACAGAAATCGTAATAGAATCGTTTGTGCTCGTTCGCGCGTGGAATTCCACGTTTTCTGATAGAGTCCAGGGTACTTTCAGGTCAACTGAGCGAACGACTATTGGCTATTGGATTTCAATCAAATCATTCGTTCCTTTTTTTTTTTTGTCCTGCAGTTCGAGGAATAGCGTTTCGGCCGGGACATTTCGCTCGGTTTCCTCGATATTTATAATCCTCGTTAACGTCGTGCGCGGAACAGGTCGTCTAGGACGAAATAGCTTCCGGTTGCAGGTGACTGGGACACGGAGACGCCATCGTCTGTAGAGATTGTGACCCTGCCAATTATTTCGGCCCCGAGATGCTACCGCCCGAAAGCTACAGCCCATAAATGAAAGATGTCGGGAAGAGGGGGAGGATTGAGGGGGGAGATCTTCCGACCGAAATGAGTACGAACCTTCATACTCGGCGACCCCTCGACTGACAAGCGTATCTGGAGACGTCGCATTTAACTGATGAGCACCGGGTGTATCAATGGCGAAAACGGAAAAAGGGGACTCCCTTTCAGGCCGACTCGGGCGGAATAATTTTTTCTTTTCCGCGCGGCGCTTTTGAGACCGGCTCGTTGCCGGGTTATTCATCGGTAATCTTCACTTTTGACCTTATCCTGTATCAAATATTTCTTTGTGCCACTGACGGACGTTAAAATGATTGGACACGAGAGAAAGAGAGCACAGTTTGTCCTCTTTTTATTCAAGAGATAGAAGATCCGGACTGATTCGTGAATGTTGAGATCTGTGGGACAGGGGTTCTAATATGACGAGGAAAACTGATCGGATAGATCTTGAAATTTTGAGATCTCAGGGAAAAGGTTTTTATTATGCTGAAGGAAACTGGACAGCTAGGTCTGAAGGAGATCCTAATTCACAAATGCAGAATGTTCGTATCTCTGGACAACGGGTTCTAATACAATGAACAAAGCTGGTTAGATAAATCTCAAGACTTTGAGATCACAGAGAAAATGTTTCTATTATAATAAAGGGAAGGGAAAACTTGACTACTAGATCTGAAATCATTCAGAAGATTCCAACTAAAAAAAAGCTGGATAACCAGAAATTGACCTAGACTAAATCACAGATGTTGAGATCTTAAGACAAAAGGTTCTAATGTAATGAAGGAAACTGCACCACTAGATGATCACCACACAAAAGAAAATTCTAATTCAAGAAAGGTTGGACAGCCAAGCCTGTCCTGGACTTCCGTGACTTCAATGAAATTTCGTAATCTACTTGTGGGTCGTTCACCGGGTATATTTAGCTCCAACCGTCTATTTGCCGTTCTATTCTTAACCCGGCTGCTCTAGAAATACACGCGCGGCCCGCTCTATATCGCCAGCTCGTGCCTGGGTCGCGCACCCTTCGTTCATTGCAGTTCGCACGGAGATGCAACTGCGTCCGTGTTGCACGGGTCTGTATGACGAGGGGGAGGTTGATCAAATTGGGTACTGTCTGCGACCGATACGATCGACAGGGTATCACTTTCGTAACGGTGTAACGTCGTTGATTGACGGCAAACCGGTTCGACCGATCATATTTTTCACGTTCGATGCTGGGGACAGTCGGTATTCTAATTCAGCTATCTAATTCAGTTTCTGGCAGACACATTTGACAATAGAACTATGGGCCAACTATCAGGTTCAATTCTAACTAGACCAGGCGTTAATGTTAATCTATTATTAAATTTTCTCAAAGTTTGTGTTTCATGGTTATGTTTTATAATTTATTTTTATATATTATACTTTATTTGTGGAACTCAAGCGAGTCATTTGAAATTATCAAATGTGTCATTTGGTGACTCGCGGGTCATAGGTTGCCGACGCCTGAACTAGACTATGAACGTTTATTCAAATTCGTAGATTTAGATACTAACAAAAAATTATTTTCTATTTAAAGTAATTTACAGTTAATGCTCGAATGATAAGGTGGGTTTAATGGACGTACCACACTTACCTTGGTAAAGTGAGGTCGGACTAAACTTGTATTTTTGTTTATTTATATAGTAAGGAATAATAATTGAGTTATATAACATATAATAATACAAGTGTTAAACCTTTTTCTGAATAATAAAAAATATATGAAAACGAGATTAATAAAAAAATGGCGTGGGGATAGCACAAGAGGAACTATAAGTTAGGTCGAACACGACCCAGACCATACCATTACAGTAGCATTCTTTTTTATTATGAGTAACTAGTAGCTTCCAATCGAACAAACACCAACAGAACAGTTTCTATTCGTTCATTCGATCACTCAAGAGGCACCCTAAAGACTTTCTCCCAGAAGAAACATCCGATAGACGTTATTTACTACCAAACACAATAGGGAACACGTTGATTATAATATGAATAATGAACAGCCCACGTCGTCGTGTCAGGAAGAAAACTAGGGGAAGTTTGTTTTCCTTTGTGGGGTCCAACCGAGTCAACAGAGCACTTATTGCCGTACGCCAATCATTTCCTCGGCACGGAACAAATATCCAATATGTTTGCGGGGCTAGTTCACGGATGGATGGTCGAGGATCGAATCTGCAACGCAAATGTCGCTCTTTTCCTCGCGTAATTACGCGATATCGCGGTCAAGACGACGCCATGGCACGTTGGTTATTGTCCCGTGTCGCTTTGATTCGAGCTGAACCCCGATAATCGTCGATCGAACGTCATCCGACACGCGCTAATTGGACCGACGATAGAATACAACCTGGAAACGTTCCCGAGGGCAAGCAGTTCGCGAATGGAAGAAATTCGATAGCTAGGGAAAACGTGGTCGGGTGTTCGACGTGGTGCGTAAACGAGACACGCGCGGCACACGCTTCTCGCACACGCGTTATCACCTTGGGAGGTAATATATTATCGGAAATGAATCAATATATCGACTGGCTGCTGAACGCCCAGTAGACACTGTGAAAACGTACACCGCCTTGGGGATTCGTTGCGTTCCCAGGCAAGGGCAAGGTCGTTTTCATAGAGTTTTTGCCCAGTTCCAGGAGGAAACAATCAGAAGATATAACGTGGAACAATATAAAGACATAACGTGGTATTAAATGTTCAATTAATCCGTCATCTGGACGGATGAACGATTAAAGTATTAAAATGATGCAGGGATACTGTCAATTTACGACCAGGTAGAGGGGATCGTTTATTGTCCTGGAAGTTTTACAAGATGTAGGAGGTATTGGTACATTTGTACTAGAATGTACTCGTTACCTTATAACTGAACTATGATAACAGTTGTTTAGAAAAATACAGGTCTGCTTGAATAAATACACTACTGTTCGTGAATATTAGTATGAATTTATGAATGTCTTATAAATGTTATACTTTGTTACTTAAACGATCGTTATTTTAGACCCTCAACAATTCCGTACTGTTGTATACACTTCATATTCGATAAGTGTCCTTAAAATTATGGAAGTGACAGTTTGAAACTACTTACATTTCAAACACGTTCAGAAGAAACTCAAGTACCCTAGGATCATCAAAGGAGCCCAAGATCAACTACCTCTACAATCGTCAAAAGAGCTCAAGACCAATTACCTTTACAATCACCAAAGAGTCAGTCGTCTGAGTGTTAATTAGGTTAATGCAAGGTATCTGTTTCGAAATTTCGCAGCGTGTACCGGTACTGATAACAAGTTATGAACGTGAGAGTTTAGAACTTCTTGTATTCCAGATACATTCAGACGAGACTGAAGTACCCTGCGATCATCAAAAGAGCCGAAGACCAACTACTTCTACAGTCATCAATAGAGTCAATTATCCGAGTGTTAATAAGGTTCATGCAAGGTATTTATT